TAACTTTCCCATTGGAATCTCGCCATCTCAAAATGGCAGCAATATTGTCGATGTGACGTCCACTTTTTACTTGCCAATCAGATGTGGCAGCAATATTGTCGATGTGACGTCCACTTTTAACTTGCCAATCACATGTGGCAGCTATATTGTCGATGTGACGCACACTTCTAATTTGCCATCACATGTGGCAGCAATATTATCGACGTGACGTCCACTATAAACTTAGCAATCAGATGTGGCAGTAATATTATCAAAGTCACGTACAATTTTAACTCGCACTCGTAATATTTTCGTTTACAAATGTAATGAATTTCCTCAATAGTCATAGTTTCATCCCAGTAATCGTCAATCACGAAGCGACCACAGCACTGCGACTATTAATGGCCGGTGTTAAATTAGACAAGTGTGGACAAGTTTTGTGCTGATTTTGTTTTGTTTTATGGATCATGTGAACCCATCATGTAAAACGCTATTCCTGACAATTGTAACAATAAATTATTTCTTTCATGATCAAATGAGTTAGTTCCTTACTTATATCAAAGGCTCGCTATTGGCTGTGCAGAGTTGCGTCCCCTGGGCACGCCAGAAACCTATGATTGTGGGTTCGAATCCCGGTTCGCCCCGATTATGTTTCTAGGTTTGTCAGCACCATACCCGTACTCGTGGGTTTCACCGAAGTGGTAAACGTCTGAGACCTGCATCACTTCAGGCTTTCCTTACACAATATAACTGGAATACTGTTAAAAGCGTTGTTAAACCAAACTCACTCACTCACTCACTCACTCACTCACTCACGCACATTACTTTTATCAAATCAGTTTGCAAAGTTCTATGACATGACGTCTTCCAATCAAAAAGAAGTGTAAACAATGAAATCTGGTGAGTACAGGCCATGTTACCCCTGGAGTCAGAGAGTGAGTAGGGTTTTACGCCGCTTTTAGCAATATTCCAGCAATATCACGGCGGGGGACACCAGAAATGGGCTTCACACATTGTATCCATGTCGGGAATCGAACCTGGGTCTTCGGTGTGACGAGCGAACGCTTTAACCACTAGGCTACCCGGCCGCCCCTGTTACCCCTGGAATGCATCCATTTATAATAACAAGAACATCACTACGTACATGGATTCGTCCACATACAATACTAGGAACATAACTACGTACCGTGGGGTTTTTCAAATCATAATAACAAGAACATCCCTATTTATCGTGGTTCGTCCATATATACTCAACAACAAAAGTTCCTGTGACACCAATATTTTAGTGTATTTTTCAAAGTTTGTTTCAAAGCAAAGTTTGGTTTTCAATATTGTAGTACATGTACGGAATCAAGTCACAAAAACGTAACTGTTACAGAAAAGCATGCATTCCATGCAAAAGTTGATTTTTATGAAAGCCCCATGCATTTCACTACCCAAGAATGGGTATAAAATATGTGAGTTAACGGGATTCCATATGCATTGTTCAGCATCGTGCTGACAACAACCACTCAGAAAAACAACAATATTACGCAATTATTCAACATTACGAAATGCCACGCCTGTCCGAAAAAGAGCGTCTGCGAGCCATTGGTATGCTTGAAGCAGGATCGAGTCAACGTGATGTTGCAAGACAATTCAACGTCCACAGAAACACCATTTGGTGTTTATGGCAACTTTGGCAACAGACGCATGCAGTCAGAGACCATCCTCGGAGTGGCAGGCCACGCGTAACCAATAATCGACAAGACAACATGATTCGAACAACACACCTACGAAATCGATTCCAGCCAGCAATAGTGACTGCAAGAAGCATCCCTGGCCTTCGACGAATATCTTCAGAAACCGTACGTCGTCGCCTCAGATGTGCAGGGATTGTCGCCAGAAGACACGCCAGACGTCCCATTTTGACAGGAAACCACCGTCAAGCACGTCTACAGTGGTGCTGTTAGCGTCTACGCTGGACGGCCATGCAGTGGGGACAAGTTCTATTCACTGACGAGTCTCGTTTTCACCTCAGCCAAAGCGATGGACGAATCCGAGTGTACCGACGTCGAGGTGAACGTTACGTCAACCATTGTGTCATGGAAGAAGATCGGTTCGGGGGCGACAGCGTTATGGTATGGGGTGGGATTACAGCAAGACAGAGGAAATATCAATGGACAGCACTACCGCGACCAGATCATCGGCCCTGTTGTTCTACCGTTTTGCGTCGTCATGGCCCAGGCATTACCTTTCAACATGGCAACGCCCGGCCTCATACTGCTCGACTTGTTCAGGATTCTCTTCAACAAAACAACGTGAATGTCATCCCCTGGCCAGCTCGCACCCCTGATCTCTCACCAATAGAGCACATGTGGGATGAGATTGATTGGCGCCCTCGAAGTCAACCACGTGTTCCACAGACACGCTAGGAAACATGCTCCAGCAGATATGGACAGATATCCAGCAGGACTTTGTGCCACGCCTGGTCCGTTCCATGAGATGAAGGTGTATTGCTTGCATCGCAACCAGAGGTAGACACACATGCTATTGATTTGTAAATTGACATTTTTGGATTTTAATGTTGTTTTTATGAAATCACGCATTTCCTGAAGTCACTATGGCAAATTAAAACATTTAAACACTTACAGGAGTCTTTTATCTGTAGCAAATTGAAATTGTTTCAGATTTGGTATAAAAACATAACTTTAAATGTCACAGAAACTTTTGTTGTTCAATAAATATGGTCAAACCACGTTAAGTAGTGACGTTCCTCGTATTATATATCGACGAACCATGGCACGTAGTGATGTTGTTGTTATTATCAATGGACAAACTACAGTACGTAGTTATGTTCTCGTTATCAATAATGGATAAACCACAGTATGTGGTGATGTTCTCGTTATCTTAATGGAAACACCACAGTATGTAGTTATGGTCTCGTTATCATTAAAGGACAAACCACAGTACGTCGTGATGTTCTTGTTATCATTAACCGACAAACCACAGTTCATAGTGATGTTCTCGTTATTATTAATGGACAAACCACAGTACGTAGTGATGTTCTCGTTATTATTAATGGACAAACCACAGTTCGAAGTGATGTTCTTGTTATCATTAATGGACAAACCACAGTTTGTAGTAATGTTCTCGTTATTATTAATGGACAAACCACAGTACGTATTGATGTTCTTCTTATCATTAATGGACAAACCACAGTTCGTAGTGATGTTCTCGTTATCATTAATGGACAAACCACAGTTTGTAGTAATGTTCCCGTTATTATTAATGGACAATCACAGTACGTAGTTATCTTCTTGTTGTTATCAATGGACAAACCACAGTACGAAGTGATGTTCTTTTAAATATAAATGGACGAACCACGGTAGATAGTGATGTTTCTGTTATTACATATGGACGGACCACAATACGTAGTGATGTTGTTGTTATCATAAATGGACAAACCTCAGTACGTAGTGATGTTCTCGTTATCATTAATCGACAAACCACAGTTCATAGTGGGGTTCTCGTTAACTTAATGGACAAAACACAATACGTAGTGATGTTCTTGTTATCATTAATGGACAAACCACAGTTAGTAGTTATCTCCTTGTTGTTATCAACGGACAAACCACAGTACGAAGTGATGTTCTTTTAAATATAAATGGACGAACCACGGTAGATAGTGATGTTTCTGTTATTATATATGTCTTTTCTGTAGCAGTTGCGTTTTTGTGACGTAATTCCATACATGTACTACAATATTGAAAACCAAACTTTACTTGTTTGAAAAATACACGAAAATATTGGTGTCGCAGGAACTTTTGTTGTTGAGTATATATGGACGAACCACGATAAGTAGTGATGTTCTTGTTATTGTGATTGGGGGAAAAACACGGTACGTAAAGCTGTTCCTGGTATTGAATATGGGCGAATCCCGGAACGTAGTAATGTTCTTGTTATTATTAATGGACAATCACAGTACGTAGTTATCTTCTTGTTGTTATCAATGGACAAACCACAGTACGAAGTGATGTTCTTTTAAATATAAATGGACGAACCACGGTAGATAGTGATGTTTCTGTTATTACATATGGACGGACCACAATACGTAGTGATGTTGTTGTTATCATAAATGGACAAACCTCAGTACGTAGTGATGTTCTCGTTATCATTAATCGACAAACCACAGTTCATAGTGAGGTTCTCGTTAACTTAATGGACAAAACACAATACGTAGTGATGTTCTTGTTATCATTAATGGACAAACCACAGTTAGTAGTTATCTCCTTGTTGTTATCAACGGACAAACCACAGTACGAAGTGATGTTCTTTTAAATATAATTGGACGAACCACGGTAGATAGTGATGTTTCTGTTATTATATATGTCTTTTCTGTAGCAGTTGCGTTTTTGTGACGTAATTCCATACATGTACTACAATATTGAAAACCAAACTTTACTTGTTTGAAAAATACACGAAAATATTGGTGTCGCAGGAACTTTTGTTGTTGAGTATATATGGACGAACCACGATAAGTAGTGATGTTCTTGTTATTGTGATTGGGGGAAAAACACGGTACGTAAAGCTGTTCCTGGTATTGAATATGGGCGAATCCCGGAACGTAGTAATGTTCTTGTTATTATATATGGACGCATTCCTGGGATAACAGGGCCTGTACTCAACAGATTTCATTGTTTACACATCTTTTTGATTGGAAGACGTCATGTCGTAGAACTTTGCAAACTGATTTGATAAAAGTAAAGTGGGTGAGTGCGTGAGTTGGGTTTAAGACCGCTTTTAACAGTATTCCAATTATATCACGGCGTGTCAGTTTAATGTGGAAGGAAAGCCCGAAGTGATGCAGGTCTCAGACGCTTACCACTTCGGCGAAATCCACGAGTACGGGTATGGTGCTGACAAACCTAGAAATATAATCGGGTCTAACCGCGATTCGAACCCACAATCATAGGTTTCTGGCGTGCCCAGGGGACGCAACTCGATATAGAGCCTTAGATATAAGTAAGGAACTCATTTGATCATGAAAGAAATAATTTATTGTTACAATTGTCAGGAATCCTTAGAGCGTTTAACATGATGGATTCACGTGATCCTGCTTCACAAAACAAAAAGAAATCAGCACTTAACCTGTCCACACTTGTCTACTTTAACATCGGCCATTAATAGTCGAAGTGCTGTGGTCGCTTCGTGATTGACGATTACTGGGATGAAACAATGACCATTGAGGAGATTCGTTACATTTGTAAACGAAGATATTAAGAGTGCGAGTTAAATTTGTACGTGACTTTGATAATATTGTTGCCAAATCTGATTGGCAAGCTAAAAGTGTGCGTCACATCGACAATATTGCTGCCATATCTGATTGGCAAATTAAAAGTGGACGTCACATCGACAATATAGCTGCCACATATTATGGCAAATTAAAAGTGTGCGTCACATCGACAATTTTGCTGCCACATCTGATTGGCAAATTAAAAGTGGATGTCACATCGACAATATTGCTGCCCATCTGATTGGAAAGTTAAAAGTGGACGTCACATCGACAATATTGCTTCCCCATCTGATTGGAAAGTTAAAAGTCGATGTCACATTAACAATATTGCTGCCAAATCTGATTGGCAAGCTAAAAGTGTGCGTCACATCGACAATATTCCAGCCACATGTGATGGGCAAGTTAAAAGTGGATGTCACATCGATAATATTGCTGCCCCTTCTGATTTGCAAGTTAAAAGTGGACATCACATCGACAATATTGCTGCCCCATCTGATTGGCAAGATAAAAGTTGACGTCACATCGACAATATTGCTGCCACATGTGATGGCAAGTTAAAAGTGGACGTCACATCGACAAATTTTGCTGCTATATAGAGACGGCGAGATTCCAATGGTACAGTTAAAATTGTACATCGACAATATTGCAGCCACATGTGATGGGCAAGTTAAAAGTGTATGTCACATCGACAGCATTATTGTGACGAGACATTCTGATAAATTGACAATGATGACCGCAAGGGTGAACAGGACGGGAAGATATTAGTGGATAACTCTGTTCATAGCCGAGACACAGCATGTCCTTCAAGGTCTCGTCCCCACTAGGCATAACGGGTGCTCGGGTGACGCTTGGACTCCGAGCTAACCAGTCCTCTTTAGCCCCTTTTTCTGAAGAGAGGGTAGCATCGCTTGAGATTCGAGTTAGAAAAGGTCAGTGACTTGGTTGATTTCGTGTCATCTACCTCGACGGCGTGGAACGTTGTTCATAATATCATTTTGGAGATAATAATGCCGTGTTTTAAAATTTGATATAGTCCCACTGTCCCGAGCGCTTTAGTGGTTCAGATTCGAATATTCACAGGCCGCCATTGTATAGCTGGAATAATGCTGAGCATGGCGTTAAACAACAAACAAACACACAACAGCCTTGCACAGATCACGCTCCTTGGCAACGCATGATGACGACAATAACTTTAGCACCATTCCCTCCAGACTGAATATTCCCCCGGGAGAATCAGTCACATGATATGTTCCCGCGGCTTTCTGCCAGTCCAGATCCAATCTGAAAACGTGAAATACTGACATGTGATAACAGTCTTGTTCATCAGAAGACAAGATAGCTAATAAGATACATGATTTGTCCGTGAGACTAAATATAACAACAACTGACCAGTGTGATAGCGAACAAATGGTATATATTACAACTTATGCTTGTCTTTAGAGGCGACTAACGGGATCGGGTGGTCAGACTCGCTGACTTGGTTAAAGCATGTCATCGATCCCAATTAAGTGGATCGATGCTCATGATATCAATCACTGGATTGTCTGGTCCAGACTTGGTTATTTACAGACAGCCGTCACATAGCTGGAATATGGCTGAGTGCAGCGTTAAACAACGAACAAACAAACAAACAGAGCAGACATTGCCGGATTTACATATATTCAGTACAGTTTCAGCACATTAACTGTTAAATTGCATGAGCTGCGCGTCAGATGTCAGTGGCGTTTACTACATGGGTTTCATAGAAAAAATGTCATCGAACAGCAGTTTTGCTGAACAAGAGATCCAGTACTGTATTTTACGTGTGAGTGAGTCTGTTTCATTTAACACCGCAATAAAAATATTTTTTAATTATGTCACAGGTGTCTGAAATGATAAATGTCTTAGCAACCCACGAGCGCGGTGATGCTGCTGCCATAATCATATATCGAACTGGTTGTTTGAACTGTTTCAAACTCGTCGATTAATACCATATTACATATACCGAATTAAACGAATTTGTATTATTCTGTGTGTAAATATTGAGGATCGTTAACGAAAACGGAAGGTCGGTGTGCATTCGAATCCGTAGGTGAGTCAATGAGTGAGTCATTGTAAGGTGGATCGGGTGGTCATTGTACGGGGGATCGGGTGGCAATCGTAAGGTGGATTGGGTGGTCACTGTACCGGGGATCGGGTGGTCATTGTAAGGTGGATCGGGTGGTCATTGTACGGGGGATCATGTGGCCATCGTAAGGTGGATCGGGTGGTCATTGTACGGGGGATCGGGTGGTCAATGTACCGGGGATCGGGTGGCCATCGTAAGGTGGATCGGGTGGTCAATGTACCGGGGATCGGGTGGTCATTGTAAGGTGGATCGGGTGGTCACTGTACGGATATCGGGTGGTCATTGTACGGTGGATCGGGTGGTCATTGTACGGTGGATCGGGTGGTCACTGTACGGGGATCGGGTGGTCATTGTAAGGTGGATCGGGTGGTCATTGTTCGGGGGATCAGGTGGTCACTGTACCGGGGATCGGGTGGTCATTGTGAGGTGGATCGGGTAGTCATTGTACCGGGGGTCGGGTGGTTATCGTAAGGTGGATCGGGTGGTCATTGTAAGGTTGATCGGGTGGCTATTGTAAGGTGGATCGGGTGGTCATTGTACGGGGGATCGGGTTGCCACTGTACCGGGGATCGGGTGGTTATTGTACGATCATGCCAACAAACATCTCAAGCCGCACTGATAGGGTTGAAATATTGCTCACTGCTGCGCAAACAGCAAACAAAAGAGTTTCAAAAACAAAATAAGAGTCAGTCATTCGGCTTCTAAATCATTGAACCGCGGTGTAGGTTAATACGCGTGCGTGCATCCAGTGGATTTATTCCCCGGAGTAGGTAAGTACATCCTTCATGCATGCAGTGGACTTATGTCCCGGAGTAGGTTAGTACATCCTTCTTGCATGCAGTGGATTTATGTCCCGGAGTAGGTTAGTACATCCTTCATGCATGCAGTGGATTTATGTCCCGGAGTAGGTTAGTACATCCTTCAAGCATGCAGTGGATTTATGCCCTGGTGTTGGTTAGTACATCCTTCATGCATGCAGTGGATTAATGCCCTGGTGTTGGTTAGTACATCCTTCATGAATGCAGTGGATTTATTCCCCGGAGTAGGTAAGTACATCCTTCATGCATGCAGTGGACTTATGCCCCGGAGTAGGTTAGTACATCCTTCATGCATGCAGTGGATTTATGCCCCGGAGTAGGTAAGTACATCCTTCATGCATGCAGTGGACTTATGCCCTGGTGTTGGTTAGTACATCCTTCATGCATGCAGTGGATTTATGCCCCGGAGTAGGTAAGTACATCCTTCATGCATGCAGTGGATTTATGTCCCGGAGTAGGTAAGTACATCCTTTATGCATGCAATGGATTTATTCCCCGGAGTAGGTAAGTACATCCTTCATGCATGCAGTGGATTTATTCCCCGGAGTAGGTAAGTACATCCTTCATGCATGCAGTGGATTTATGCCCCGGAGTAGGTAAGTACATCCTTCATGCATGCAGTGGACTTATGCCCTGGTGTTGGTTAGTACATCCTTCATGCATGCAGTGGACTTATTCCCCGGAGTAGGTAAGTACATCCTTCATGCATGCAGTGGATTTATGTCCCGGAGTAGGTAAGTACATCCTTTATGCATGCAATGGATTTATTCCCCGGAGTTGGTTAGTACATCCTTCATGCATGCAGTGGATTTATGCCCTGGTGTTGGTTAGTGCATCCTTCATGCATGCAATGGATTTATTCCCCGGAGTTGGTTAGTACATCCTTCATGCATGCAGTGGATTTATGTCCCGGAGTAGGTAAGTACATCCTTTATGCATGCAATGGATTTATGCCCTGGTGTTGGTTAGTACATCCTTCAAGCATGCAGTGGACTTATTCCCCGGAGTAGGTAAGTACATCCTTCATGCATGCAGTGGACTTATGCCCTGGTGTTGGTTAGTACATCCTTCATGCATGCAGTGGACTTATTCCCCGGAGTAGGTAAGTACATCCTTCATGCATGCAGTGGATTTATGTCCCGGAGTAGGTAAGTACATCCTTTATGCATGCAATGGATTTATTCCCCGGAGTTGGTTAGTACATCCTTCATGCATGCAGTGGATTTATTCCCCGGAGTAGGTAAGTACATCCTTCATGCATGCAGTGGATTTATGTCCCGGAGTAGGTAAGTACATCCTTCATGCATGCAATGGATTTATTCCCCGGAGTTGGTTAGTACATCCTTCATGCATGCAGTGGATTTATGCCCTGGTGTTGGTTAGTGCATCCTTCATGCATGCAATGGATTTATTCCCCGGAGTTGGTTAGTACATCCTTCATGCATGCAGTGGATTTATGCTCTGGTGTTGGTTAGTACATCCTTCATGCATGCAATGGATTTATTCCCCGGAGTTGGTTAGTACATCCTTCATGCATGCAGTGGACTTATGCCCTGGTGTTGGTTAGTACATCCTTCATGCATGCAGTGGACTTATGCCCTGGTGTTGGTTAGTACATCCTTCATGCATGCAGTGGATTTATGCCCTGGTGTTGGTTAGTGCATCCTTCATGCATGCAATGGATTTATTCCCCGGAGTTGGTTAGTACATCCTTCATGCATGCAGTGGATTTATGCCCTGGTGTTGGTTAGTACATCCTTCATGCATGCAGTGGACTTATATCCCGGAGTAGGTAAGTACATCCTTCATGCATGCAGTGGATTTATGCCCTGGTGTTGGTTAGTGCATCCTTCATGCATGCAGTGGATTTATGCCCCAGAGTAGGTAAGTACATGCTTCGTGCATGCAGTGGATTTATGCCCCAGAGTAGGTTAGTACATCCTTAATGCATGCAGTGGATTAATGCCCCGGAGTTTGTTAGTACATCCTTCGTGCATGCAGTGGATTAATGCCCCGGAGGTGCTTAGTACATCCTTCATGCATGCAGTGGATTAATGCCCCGCAGTTGGTTAGTACATCCTTCATGCATGCAGTGGAAATATACCCCGGAGGTGGTTAGTACATCCTGCATGCAGAGGAAATATGCCTTTGAACCTTGCACTTGATTAGTACGTTCATGCATCATGCAGCGGAATTCAAACCCATACTCACACCCCGATGACAAGCAGTTACATTAGTCGTAGTCGTCGTAGTCGTCGTCCTGAGCGGTCATCAACGACGTCTCCTCCTCTCGCTTACCTTCAACGATGCCGGAGGGGAAGTTCTGGTCGCTCGATGTCTTTGGGAACAGAACTAACGCGACATATATTCCAAAACCTGAAGAGAGATTATATCACAATTCAAACTCCACTCAAAAACAAACCTGACGTCGGAGCACTTGCCATGCTCTAACATGGGTTTCGCACTATTGTAATAGTGACATTATTACCGATACTTTAAACATTGTGTGAGATCAGGGCCATGGCTCCAAAGAGATATAGCGTCTACATAGTCCCACTCCTTTTGTATCGGTTACTTGTACAAGTGTATCCCCGGTCGCGTCATACCAAAAAACGTTAAAAGATGGTACTTGTTGTTACCCTGTCTGGCGCTCGGCATTAAAAGGGGAAACTCTCTCTCTCTCTCTTTAAATAAGTGCATATTATTTGGCAATGAGTCAAATAAGGATAAGATGTATATTATATACTGAAATAAGATGTTCAAATCAGATTCACTTGCATAATACATATACCACTAGGACTTTCAACGAACTTGGTACAATATTGTCATAATAATGTACAACCTAACCAAAATCAAATCAAAACACTTGTGTCAATTTTTGCAACAGCCTCCGCAGCACAGATGGTAGCGTGACGGAATACAGATGAAGAGGTTGCAGGTTCTATGATGCATTACTACGATAAACCAGTATCGTCTTTTAGATAATACCTCCTCTCTCTCTCTCTCTCTCTCTCTCTCTCTCTCTCTCACCGAACTTAATGCGAGTGAGTGAGTTGGGTTGAACGCTGCTTTGAACAGTATTTCATTTATATCAGCGTGTCAAATTGATGTGGAAAGTAAGCCTGTAGTGATGCAGGTATGAGCCTCTTTATCACTCTGGTGATGACATGCATTAACCAAGTCTGCCAGCCTGACCCCCCGACGCCTTACGACAAGTATGGGTTGCTGAAGAGCAATTCTAAGCTTGAATCTTCACGGGACGAGTTGATGCTCAAGAGAATGTAATTCTCGCGTATCAAACTAATATCCCCAGGAATACCAGCAGATTTGGGCACTCACATGTCTTATCTCCTACACAAGTGATGTTCAAATTTTGTTATTGACATACCAAGAGTAACAAGGATGGTGTACCCAACGACCCCCGTGACGTCAGCCGCCGCTACCAACAGCACGACGTTGATGACGATGGAGAGTATTGGAAGATACGGCACCAGCGGCATCTGTTAAAAGAAGATTGTAGAGTGAGTGATTGAGTAGATTGAAGTCAGCAGTGATGCTGTTACGTACTTCTGGTCACCTGTGACGCATGCGCACTGACGCCGTTCAAGTCGCCAGTGGCGTAGGTCAGGTCAGCAGTGACGCATGCGCAGTGACGCGGGTCTCGAAACCAGTGACCCAGTGACGCAGGCCGTTGACGTTTACCGCTTTGGTAAAACACGTGTATTGTAATCATGGGTTGTCTGGGTTACTAAAGACCTATTCTAAGTCGGATCTTCACAGGTACCGCGTCAATATAATTAATGATGAAGACATGTAATTAACTCGAGATTCAGTTTGGGGCGATAATCTGACAAACTGCTCTTCTCTGATGTTAATTTAAAAGGCAGCCCTTCTTTAGAGGCCAAGGGTCATTCTCGCGTCACGGCCATTGGACAATGCGTACAATGGTATTTTGTTCTGCGGATATCTCGATGTGAAATCACAATTAACCGTTTACATTGACCTTGTATAGGGTGGTCCTCACATCTTAAGTGATAACACTGGGTTTCAGTGGTAGGCACAGAGGTGTTTCTAATCCATTTAATTACAAAACTTCAAACAATATGGTATACAAGGACAATAGAAACCAACATTAAATCTAATCTAGTTTTCATTAAGGGATATGTACATTTACCTATACGTCCTTGATCCAAACATACTTTATTGGTTGGTTGGTTGGTTTAACGCCGCAGAAATATTCAAGCTTTATTACGGCGGTCTGTAAATAATCGAGTCTGGACCAGACAATCCAGTGATGGATCATGAGCATCGATCCACGCAATTGGGATTGACATGCATCAACCAAGGCAGCGAACCCGACCACCCTATCCCGTTAGTCGCCTCTTACGACAAGCATAGTCGCCTTTTACGGCAAGCATGGGTTGCTGAAGACCTATTCTACCCCGGATCTTCACGGGTCACGTACTATGATGACAACCCCGATATATATAAAGCAGAACATGGTCAAAACGGAGGACATTTTTACTGAATTCAATCGTGTGAAGTACTTACGCTGAAGCCGTTGTGTTTCGCCGACCCTGTTTGTGTCGCCATCAGCACCGATAGGAAAACCAGTAACCCTAGAAGAAGTCCTAGACACACAAACGCCAACACGTTCCTGTTCAGGAGATCGTCAATACCTCCAACAAGCTGTAATCCTAGACCCATAGACGTGAACACTACAAGATACACCAAATTCTGCAATCCTATCCTGTCCGCCAAACCTCTGAAACCTGATCGAGGTTCCCTTCGTGGTCCATCACTGGACAGAAGGGAGCGTTCGTCCATTTTAACATTTCCATTCTCTTCATTTCCTGAACTTGAACTCGGTTCCTCGCGTCTACTGAGTAACAGAATACCGTTTGATATAACAAAACTTAGAAATATAGATATAACGTTAAAGCTGACGAGGTTCGAAATGTCGAAGAGAAGGGCAAATACAGACACAAGGAGGCCCATGACCACGGCTGCCCTGACTGGAACCTTGGTAGTCCTGTTCACACTGAGGAAGGCCTTCAAGAACAGTCCGTCACTGGACATGCAGTATACATGTCTTGATAGGTTATATAAGTTCAAGATATTTAGATTACTGATGCCTAGAGTCGGGCCTATGCTGACGACGTATTTCGCCCACTCGAGGTGCTTGTAGGCGAATGCGGACGGAAGTGGAGCCCGGGTGTCAATTTGTGAGTAGGGCACAAGGAGGATGAGGCCGCAGGACGATCCTACGTATAGCAGTGTTACGATAAGTAATTCTGAGAATATTGCTCTTGGGATGGATTTCCCCGGAGTCTTGCACTCTTCAGCTGACATGCAAATAATGTCGAATCCCTGAAATGCGTAGAAACATGCTGCAGTCCCTGCCATCACACCACCGATGCCAAACGGCAAGAATCCTCCATGTTCACTGTTGCTGATGTTGCTGTAGTCGCCTACAACCAACCCCATAACGGTGACAAACAGCAGCACACATACTGACACACACGCCAACACTGTGCTGATGAACGCGGAAGCTTGGACACCAAGGGAGATAATTATTATGACCACAATCTCGTATGCGCATGCCAGGAAGTCCAGATTTTCGCTAAATGGCGGCCCGAGTGTGACCTTGCCAAGGTAGTGGTCTGTGGTTTCGTGGATGTAGTTGTTGAAGAGCGAGTCGAGATAGCCGCTCCAGGCTCTAGCTGCAATGGCGCCACTTGTGAGAAAACCTAGAAGAAGACAACACAGTGACTATATATATATATGCTGTTTCGTCAGAAAGAAAGAAATGTTTGTTTGTTTGTTGTCTAACGCCGCACTCAGCAATATTCCAGCTATATGACGGCGGTCTGTAAATAATCGAGTCTGGACAAGGCCATCCAGTGATTGAGCATCGATCTACGCAATTTGGTTACGATGACTTGCATCAACCACGTTAGCGAGCCTGACCACCCGATCGCCTCTTACGACGAGGATAGTCGCCTGTTACTGCAAGCATGGGTTGCTGAAGACCAATTCTACCCCGGATCTTCACGGGTCGGGGAAGAATTGATCTCCAGCAACCAATGTTTGTTGTAAAAGGCAAATAAGTTGATACGCTGGTCAGACTACGTAGGGCGTTGCTCATTAGATCAATCACTGGTTTGACTTATGTAGCTGGAACATTGCGGAGTGAGTCAGTGAGTATGGTCTTACGCCGCTTTTAGCAATATTCCAGCAATATCACAGCGGGGAACACACAAATGGGCTCCACACATTGCACCCATGTCGGGAATCGAACCCGGGTCTTCGGCGTGACGAGCGAACGCTTTAACCACTAGGCTACCCGACCGACCTAGGAATATTGTGGATGGGGCGTTTTGGCGCATGACGGACAAACACCTTTTGCGAGTAAGTTTTGTTATGGTGTTTTAACAATATACTACGGTCCACCATATGTTTGGCTTCACACAAGGTACCAATGTGCGCAAGAGAGCCCAGCCGGCAAAACGAGCCACCGCTTTATGAGAACAACACTATTGAAGCAGGCTTATCTATCGGTCGGTCCATACCTCAAGGCACAATCGATAGGCGTTTGTGAAAGCCGCTGTGACCATTTGACATAAAATATATAATTTTATTTTTATGATAAAGTATCGACACCAGCTGTGATATTTCATGTGGTCTGACAAGAAGAAAAAAATAACTTGAAATATAAGAGTATGGGAAATTTCATTGCACATCGACGCTTGACTGACGTGTGATGTGTTTTATAAATGTACGTGAAGCGAGCCACTGATCACCAGTACGTTTCGGTACAATGCACATTTCATAACAGTTCACAGTTCCACTGCTTGGGCTCAGCGTCAGGTTTGTGTCGCGTTTACTGCATGTGTTTCAGAGTGTCATCGTTCAGGACTTGATAGGACTACACCACATGTACAATATGTCACGGCATCTACGAGATTTTGGTTTAATGCCGCTTTGAACGGTCTCCAAATTATAAGTTACGTCCACAACCGATGAAAACCACGAGATCGGACATGGAATCGACATACTAATTTGGGCAGTTCGGAATTCGGTTCCTGGCGTATCTAAGGGACGTAACTCTGCACTTGGCATCCCCGCCACCCCCGCTCCGACCCCAAACCTGAGAGCATGCTATACACATACGTGTATGGACCTACCCACAAGGGGGCGGTGGGGTAGCCTAGTGGAAAAAGCGTCCGCCCGTCACGCCGAAGACCCGCGTTCGATTCCAAACATGGGTACAATGTGTGAACCCATTTGTGTGTTCCCCGCTGTGATATTGCTGGAATATTGCTAAAAGCGGCGTAAAACCTCTCTCACTCACTCACTCACTCACCTACCCACGAGAGTTATCCAGCCGACAAGGAAGGCGAGCAGTTCACATGCACTCTCATACACGTAGGTGTAAGTGGCGCCAGTCTTGGGTATCCTTGCGCCGAACTCCGCGAAGCAAATGGCGTTTATGACAGTTACTATGCCGGCCATGAGGAAGGACAGTAGCACACCAGGTCCTGGTGATAAAGAAGACAAAGTGTTCAGTTCGTGAGTCATATAAACTGTACAGATAATTGTAAAATCATCAAACACAAAAATAAACAAACTCCATTCCACTGTACAAGCTAATTGGATGTTACACGCACCCCTAATTGTCCGTATTTCCACAACACGCTACAGTGTCATGGTTTTCGCGTTAATGAATACTTTACAATTTTCACCAATGTTGCAGATGGATGGAGAATTTAATTAACTTAGGAACACTTCAGAAGTGTAATTGTATGCTAACAGTACAGTCACGTGGAAGTACTATTGGTGCATGGACAGTGGGATCGACAATCCGCGAGCAGTTTAATTGTAACAGATTTGTAGAACGATTTGAGCGTTGATCGTGATATTTGGAAAATGAATAAATTAAATTACTGTTCTTGTTTCTGGTGAAGTAAACATGGCATATCGAAAGAGCTGTGGGTGATGATTAGATTGTGAGGTAAAAAATTACCCAAAGATGACCCAATAGGGACCAAAGGATCACCCAGAGGTGACCCTAAGAATGACCCAAGGGTAACCCAACAGTGACCAAAGGTTGACCCAAGGATGACCCAAGGGTGACCCAAGAATGGCCAAAGGATGACCAAAAGGTGACCCAAGAATGACCAAAGGATGGCCCGAGGGTGACCCAACAGTGACCAAAGGTTGACCCAAGGATGACCCAAGGGTGACCCAAGAATGGCCAAAGGATGACCAAAAGGTGACCCAAGAATGACCCAAGGGTGACCCAAGAATGACCAAAGGATGACCAAAAGGTGACCCAAGAATGACCCAAGGATGACCCAAGGGTGACCCAACAGTGACCAAAGGTTGACCCAAGGATGACCCAAGGGTGACCCAAGAATGACCCAAGGATGACCCAAAGGTGACCCAAGGGTGACCCAAGAATGACCTAATGATAACCAAAGGAAGACCTAACGGTGCCTGGATGATGGTCCGGGACAATGAAAACTCCTTGGTGTGGGTAAACGTCTAACATCTGCATGACTCAGGGCTCCCCTGACACATAAATGATCTGTGAAGATTATTTCAGTTACACCACAGCGTGTCATCTTGATGTGGGGGTAACGCCAGAAGAGATGCAGAATTTCTGCTCGGGTTGGCCCAATAAAGACAAAGGAATTTGGCTAAGACGTTTAACATACGCCTCAGGCAGTTGCATGATCTGATATATGTTGTTTCAGGAGAACAATTGACTTGCCTTTGTATGTGTTAGTGACGGGTGCCTCCTCAGGGACAGGATACGCTCCCCAATTAACGAACACCTAACATCACTAGTTGATAGTGATTCATAAACACATGCTTACGACATAGACGGAATCGTACAATGGATTCTCTTTTGGTAGACACTTCTTATAGAAAGGTTGTTTTCGCCTTTATTAAGAAGTCAAAACAGCAGTTTATATGCGTTGCCACGTGGACTAAGATGGCATTATCAAATTAAGCTAACATCACATAACATCAGAGCCACAAAGCCGCTATGTATAGCCATTACCAACGATATGCAGGACCTAAACGAAAAACCGTCCCACCTGCATATTCCTTTGCTGCCACGCCCACGAGTACATATATGCCCACCCCCACCGTGCAGCCCACGCCCATGAAGGTCAGGTGGGTGGTGGTGAGACATCGCTTCAACTCCGTGCTGTGATCGTGCTCCGAGATTATCTTCTTCTTCTTCATCCGAGTCCATAGGAGCCGCAGAGAGTCCTTCGCGCCCATCGTTGTTGACGTAGGCTCGCACTTTACCTTCTCATCCTGTGTTCAGATACATAAAATGAGTGAGTGAGTATGGTTTCACGCAGCTTTTAGCAATATTCCAGCAATATTGAGGCGGGGGACACCAGAAATGGGCTTCTCATTGTACCCATGTCGGGAATCGAACCCGGGACTTCGGCGTGACGAGCGAAGGCTTGAACCACTTCGCTACCCGACCGCCCCCGATATATATAAAAATATATACAAATAATAGATGAGCATGAAACCCATCCTAGGGTGGTCTGACTTAGTAGCTGTGGATAAAATAAATATCTAATTTCAACAAAATCGTAGGTCGCAAACGTCAAGGCAACCGTGGCCATCATGGCAACCAAATTGCCTGACAAATATTTATCGAACTAGATATGTTGTTGGGTAAAATAGTAGTACTGCCACATGTTGCACAATGCAAACAGAACAGAAAATAATATTAAATGAATTTGCAATGCATGAGATTACAGGTCAATGTATGAGCACCTAATGAAACGTCAATACACCAATTCTTTTGGCTGAGTCAGGGAGATCACAGAGTTCAAAACGTTCCAAATCAGTCAGCCATTATTGATTACAAAGTGCACAGCAACACATGTTGATGATGTTGGCTGTGTGGTCTCTGGGTAGTCCGGCTTCTATTTCACTGAATCATGTTCCAGCAGCGGGCAGGACGACTGCCACGAGATGATGTCGCCAGTCACAGGAACTCACAGAGTACGTGTTGGGGCTTCCTTGCCACGTGGACACCATCGAGTCAGGACAAAACAAAAGTCAATGGTTGCATGAGTGAGTGAGTGAGTGAGTTGGGTTTTACGCCGCTTTTAACATTATTCCAGTTATATCACGGCGTGTCAGCTTAATGTGGGAGGAAAGCCCGAAGTGATGCAGGTCTCAGACGTTTACCACTTCGGTGAAACCCACGAGCACGGGTATGGTGCTGACAAACCTAGAAACATAATCGGGGCGAACCGGGATTCGAACCCACAATCATAGGTTTCTGGCGTGCCCAAGGGACGCAACTCTGCACAGCGAATCGCGGCGCCTTAGACGACAGGGCCACCCGTGCCCCCGCCAGTCACAGGAACTCACAGAGTAAGTGTTGGGGCTTTCCTTGCCACGTGGACACCATCGAGTCAGGACAAAACAAAAGTCAGTGGTAGCATGAGTAACTATCAACGCCACGCGGGGATACGCAGTCAGAAGATACACTGTAACCATCCGATCCATATGTTATCTCGCTGTTTGATAAATATGAGATAGTATACGTATTATGTATACATATATATTATGTAGTATAGGTAATACCAGTTCTGGACCACTTCCACTGGAGCCAGATTTAGATACCTATACCACTAATACAGGGGGATTTTTTTATGCAAAAATGATGATGCGATATCGATTTAACGATCGTCATGATTCGTATAAAAAGATACATCAATATTAATTAATAATGGATAAAATTTACCATAGCCCACGACGATATTTGAAAGGTATAGGAGCACTTCAAAAATTAGCCACCGCGGCTAAGGTATCTAAAGATGTGGCCAAGGATTGGCTAAAGAACTGTCATTGTCTATACTACTCCCGAGATTCCTCTAGATCTATGCGTTAAATGAGAACCAGTAAAACGCTTGATATGTTTTATTAAATAGGTGTTATTTTGACTTGTTGATAAAACATTATTTTTTTAAATTCCACAATATTTTACACTGAAATATTTCATTCATATAAATAAGAAAAGTATATTACCTTCGTGTGTTCCGGAATGTAAACGTGGACATTGATGGTGTAAAGCGTAAATATCGGACTTATTGAACTTAAACCCTTAGTCTGTGTGACCATGAACACAAATGACAGCTTGTTTGACTATAATACTTATACCAGCAGTTTAAGGAGAATAGCTTGCCAACATGTGGCCCTAAACTACAACATGATCAACATGTATAGTGATGTCGATAGGCATTCACCTAACGAGGTAACACGGGATGATATGAAGTTGTTGAGTGATGCTGTGTTCGGTTTTCCTCCCGGGGGAGTTCAGATACACAAACATACGGGCAGTACCCGCACACAGCTAATACGTTATTGCCAGATGGCACAGCAATATAGACGCTTGTGGTATGTGAAATACAGGTGTTAAAAGCTTTGCAGAACAGAACGATAACAGTAGTACATGATTTAAAGGTGAAACAATTATTCAGTGCAGAATATATAGGAGTTCTCTACCGTTTCCCGAATAGCTCTCCTGTTTAATACGTTCGCTCGTCACACCTGAGGCCCGGGTTCGGAGCCCGGTACTAAATCGTCACACAAAGCTACAAAGGCACTCACGCGTCACAAAACACCACAAAGGTACTTGCCACACAACACCACAACGGCACTCACTCGCCACACAACACCACAACGGCACTCACTCGTCACACAACACCACAACGGCACTCACTCGTCACACAACACCACAACGGCACTCACTCGCCACACAACACAACGGCACTCACTCGCCACACAACACAACGGCACTCGCTCGTCCCATAACACCACAACGGCACTCACTCGCCACACAACACAACGGCACTCACTCGCCACATAACACCACAACGGCACTCACTCGCCACACAACACAAAACGGCACTCACTCGCCATACAACACCTCAACGGCACTCACTCGCCACATAACACCGGAAACGGCACTCGCTCGCCACACAACACCACAACGGCACTCACTCGCCACACAACACCACAACGACGCTCGCTCGCCATACAACACCACAACGGCACTCACTCGCCACACAGCACTACAACGTCACTCGCCACACAGCACTACAACGTCACTCGCCACACAGCACTACAACGTCACTCGCCACACAAAATCACAACGACACTGGCTCGCCACACAACGGCACAAAGGCACTCACTCGCCATACAACGGCTTGTAATACGAGTAAAAGATGTACCTGCATTACATTGTTTACTATCGCACACATAGCTGCACTAGGCAGGTGTGTATACTGTAAAAAAATGTGTTTAGGATGTAAACACATACAAGACATGTTTAGATCTAAACATGCTCAATAATGTGTTTCAATCTTAAACGGAATACACATTTGGTGTTTTCTATCTAAACGCATTTAAATCTAAACACATGAAAAATGAGCTATCGTCTCGCAACTTAAACACCACCTAAACACAACACCCCATCATCTAAACATGTTCAGATTTTAAACATGTTAAAACGTGTTTAGCTTTTGAACGTTTCAACATGTTTAGATTCTAAAGAGACTTAAAGTTTCGACATGTTTAGAATTTTAACACGTTTAAACATGTTTCGAATATAAATCTGTTTCAATAAAGAGCATATCATTGGGCAAAGAATCAAATAAGGAGAAGATGTATATTATATACTGAAATAAGATGTGCAAATCAGATTCAGTTGCATAACACATACACCACCAGGTTTATAATTGGATCATTTTACGACACTGACCTTGACCTCGGACATTCCTAGATGTTTAAGGTAACTTCTTTGATGTGAGGAAAAGCAGGTTTTGCAAACGGCATAACAAAGGTAAGGCGCGTAGTGACAGATGATACACGCAGTGCGTGCCCACACTGGCCGATAACCTTACGTCGGTTCGTACAACGCCGCTCAAATTAAACTTCCCAGCTCACAACCATCTCAATACCGGTGTGACTGTTTTCGTCATGGATAGATTACATAGGTCAGGAGGACCTACTGGGTCTCTGATTCTGACTCACTGAAACATAACCAGCTGTGGCGGCATCTTCAGCGAGGCGAGCTTCGTGTTTGTTTGTTTGTTTGTTTGCTGTTTAACGCCGCACTGGGAAATATTCAAGCTACATATGTATATGACGGCGGTCTGTAAATAATCCAGTCTGGATTAGACAATCTAGCGACTGACATCATGAGCATCGATCCATGTGTTTGGGATACGATGACATGCATCAACCAAGTCAGCGAGCCTGACCAACCGATATCATTTGTCGGCTCTTACGACAAGCATAGTCGCCTTTTACAGCAAGCATGGGTAGCTGAAGACCTATTCTACCCCTGATCTTCACGGGTGTCATCCGACAGTGGCTTCGCTCCTCGGTCTTACATTGTTTGTTTGTTGTTTTACGCCGCACTCAGCAATATTCTATCTGTATGACGGCAGTCTGTAAATAATCGAGGCTGGACCAGATAATCAAGTGATTGATATCATGAGCTTCGATCCACGCAATTGGGATCGATGACATGCTTTAACCAAGTCAGCGAGCCTGACCACCCGATCCCGTTAGTCGCCTTTTACGACAAGCATAGTCGCCTTTTACAGCAAGCATGGGTTGCTGAAGACCAATTCTACCCCGGATCTTCACGGGTCCGGTCCTACATTGCCGATACCCGATTACCTCGGAATCGTGTTTTATCCTTCACATAGTGAATACGATTCCAAGGAAACGACTCCGAGGTAACGGTCGAGGAAGTGAGACCGCGGCAAGAGGACATCGGCGATGTAGAAGACCGAAGAGCGAAGCCATGAGGTCTTACATTGCCGATATCCGATTGCCAAGGTCTTACTATCCTCGACCATAACCGCGTAGGAGTGCTTTATCTCACATATAAACCGTCTAAATGCAAGAAATAACAGCAAAAAATCGAGATATCTTATAGTGAAACAATACAGTGTGTCGCGGTATAAACGGAATGAGATCAAAGCGTGCGAGAGAAGAAACACGTGCAGCATAAACAAAACTAATGACATGAAAAATTGAACACATGATCACCGTCAGCCTCGGTGACTCAGAGGGAACTCAGAGGGAAATCAGTGAGTTGCAAAGCACAACATGTTATGTGAAGTTGCAGGTTCGATTCCCGTCATATATAAGTGAAAAAGTTCCATGTCTTGTCTTCCATTTTGGAACATTGGACGTTTTACGCCAGGCTCCACCTGCACAAATCGATCTTAGCGCTAAAACTATCGTAAGATTATGTTAAAGTATGGGAGTTAAGATCATCTTAGCGCTAAGATCGCTTTATGCAAGTGGGCACAGGTCTTACTTGGAAAAAGTAAAACCTCCCCAGAGGTGAGGTGAAATGGGGTTTAACGTCGCGTCAAAGATTATTGCACTTATATAGCGACGTGCATGTACGTGTGTGTGTTTGTGTGGCTGCTTGTACTAGTCCGGACTGATGCCGATTTATAGTGCTAGCTCACTGAGATACCATGCCGCAGTTTAACATGAATACCCTACTCAGACCCAGTATGCTGACTCCGAGCCGACCAGTCCTTTTTTAGCCCCTTAATGCCGAGCGCCAGACAGGGTAACAACAAGTACCATCTTTTAACGTCTTTTGGTATGACGCGGTCGGGGATCGAACCCCGGACCTTCCGCTCTCCGGGCGGACGCTCTACCACTAGACCACGGAGGCGGTCAAACCTCTCAAAAGGTTATTACGAAATAGAAAGATATCTACAACACAATAGGCAGTAGGTTTATAAAATCATCTCATGACTTGTTTCATTGGCTCTTGGCAAATATGAATATGCATTTCTGTATACAGTACAATATAAGCCCGTATACCACTTTCCCAAGGCGCCAACACACTTGTGAATATCGTCATGTCAAGCTTCTATAACAGGGAGCAGTCACCAAAACTATCCCGCAGTCAAGCCCTTTCCCCAAAGTGACGATTCGGTTAGAGCAAGATAGAGTCGCGGCGAGTTCTTTGTTGGGTGACCGCGTTTCGGCAGCTTGGCTCCTGAGAATTTCTTATAGTGGCCCCGCTCCACACTGCGACACATGTAGCGTCTCCTTAAGACAAGTGATTTACCTCTGTTCACCCAGCAGTGAATGGGTACCCGGTAGGATGAGATGACAATATGGTTGTTAACCTTCTAGCTCTAGTTTGGGTTGTATACTCCCCAGGGAGCGGAGAATGATTGTTGAGTGCATCAAGATCCATTGACCGGGCTAATAATAGCGTTTTGGGCATGCCCCTGTGTGGAGTGGAAATATTCGCAATATAAATGGCCTATTATTTTGCGGATATCGGAATAAGTCGGAATAAGTTGTCGGAATGAGCCGAGTCTACCGGACCGCGTCATTTTGACCTCATTCTCTAATGGACAAAGCGTCAGGCCTTTCGTGGACCATCTCTGTATTATATACCTTAAAACCGCATAAAATTGCAAACATGGCGTTTGTAGTCCAAACCTACATTGTTGTATTCGATTACTGTGCAACAGACGCTGTATCAGTTTCAAGGATGCTTGAATAAATGTATATATTATGTGCCGCATCTCGTTTCCATGGAACATGCGCCTGCTATCGATTAGTACATTGCATTTGCATATTCTTATTGATCACATCATTATACAATATGATTGAGAAACTGAACACTAGCTGCTGAAAACAATAGTGTAACACAACCATGTTGTTTGTTTGTTGTTTAACGCTGCACTCAGCACCCAGCTTATATACAGCGGTCTGTAAATAATGGAGTCCGGATCAGGCAATCCAGTGAGTGAAATCATGAGCATCGATCCACGCATTTGAAATACGATGACGGTGACAACAAAGTCAGCGAGCCTTATCGCCCGATCCCGTTAGTCGCCTCTTACGACAAGCACAGACGCCTTATACGGCCTCCATGGGTTGCTGAAGATCTATTCTACCCCGGATCTTCACAGGTCAAACAGTATATGACTGTCAGTCTGTGATGCAGGTCTTCAACTTTGGTGAAACCCAGGAACACAGTATGATGCTGACAAACCCAGAAACATAATCAGGTCGCACCGGATTTGGAACCAACGATCATTAAGCGACGCAACACTGCATACTGAACATATTATAACGAACACGCTTATAACGAACTGACGGATACAACGAACTATTTGGGGTCTCCATTTGCTGTTTATATGCTGTATATATGCATGTACCGGACTATGGTTATAACGAACTAAAATTAATGGTTCCTGTGAGTTCGTTATAACCGTAGTTTACTGAATGTACATTTGAAAGGGGGCACAGGTGGCCCAGTCGTCTAAGGAGTCGCAAATTGGCTGTGCAGAGTTGTGTCCCTTGGGCACACCAGAAACCTATGATTATGGGTTCGAATCCCGGTTCGCCCCGATTATGTTTCTACGTTTGTCAGCATCATACCCGTGCTCGTGGGTTTCACCGTAGTGGTAAACGTCTGAGACCTGCATCACTTCGGGCGTTCCTCCCACATTAAGCTAACACGCCGCGATATAACTGGTATACTGTTAAAAGTGGCGTAAAACCCAACTCACTCACTCACTCACTCACTCACATTTGAAAGTAGTCTGTCAAATGTAAGAAAGTAGATAAAGTAGTAAAATAGTAAATTATTGAGGGAGATGTGATCTTCACCGCAATGAATTTTCCAAATTGACAAGTATACTGTTTTGGATATGTATTAAGCGACACGAGGTTGTTTTGTAAAAAAATATATAGGTACCATTTTCTCCCGAAAAGAGCTTTATTTACGCTTCATTCTGAAGAACGATTGGAACACGAAAGGACTGTCGGGGGACAAAGGACGATACCTGGACGAACGGTGAGAGAGTACGTGAGTGAATGAGAATGGTTTTACGTCGTGTTTAGCAATATTCCAGCAAAATCACAGAAATATGCTTTACACATTGTACACAAGGCGGGCGTCGAACCCGAGTCTTCGGCGTAACGAGCGAACGCATTAACCACTAGGCTACCCCTCCGCCCTGAAACGGAGATTGACGTTGACACTGACTGTCATGGTGAGCAGAAAAGATGTTCCACAAATTATACCACTAGTGTGAGTGAGTGAGTTGGGGTTTAACGCCGCTTTTAACAGCATTCCAGTTGTATCATGTGTCAGCCTAATGTGGGAGGAAAGCCCGAAGTGATGCAGGTCTCAGACGTTTGCCACTTCGATGAAACCCACGAGCACGGGTATGGTGCTGACAAATCTAATCGGGGCTAACCGGGATTCGAACCAACAATCATATGTTTCTGGTGTGCCCAAGGGACGCAACTCTGTACAGCGAATTGCGGCGCCTTAGACGACCGGGCCCCCGTGCTCCCACCACTACAACGTTCATACCACGTCATGGTCGGGTTAGAATTGTCCTCTAGCAACCCATGCTGGTCGTAAGAGGCGACTAAAGGGATCGGATGGTCAGGCTCGCTGACTTGGTTGATGCACATCATCGTATGTCTGGTCCAGACTCGATTAATTACAGACCGCCGTCATGTCGCTTGAATATATTTGAGTGCGGCGTTAAACAAACAGACAAAACAAGTCATGAATAGCGGCGAACTTCCCAGGAAGTTTTCAATTTCACAAAAACATAATGAATAGAATGGTCAATATCAATAACTGTTTCATTGTTTATTCAACAGCACGTGATTTATTGGTATCGATCGCAATCACACCTGTGCACTGATATCCTATACAGACTAGTGTTCGTATCACGTTCTGAAACCACACAGCTGGTTACTGCCGATACCTATTTCTACCTGCTCGTATCAATTTCCGCGATATATGCATAAACACACTTAAAAAACGCGTGTTTAACGATTGTATCTATATTAAACGGTCTCACGCTTCTATGCCTAGTGTAAAATAACAGTTTGCGCTGTGTTTAAATGTAATTATATAGCTTTATACACCTT